TCAAAATAGACCGTGAATGTTCTTTGAAGACGTTTTCAAAACTATGAGATAATCAGGAGAAAAGCTTTCATTTAAATTCGTTCGAACAAAGGAATGCGTACGAAAAGGGAACAACATTGGATACATAAGTTACTCATGAATACGATTTACCTTTCATGCTAAAATTCCTTGCATATTTCATAGTTATTCAAATTTTGAGTTACTTTTAAGTTGTCATGAAAGTGGAAGGACTAAAGCTGTATGATCGAAGAAGTACAAATAAGCTTTGTTCGAAGTTATTTTTTAACACTTCACCAGCTTTTACTATATTGTTTTGATTCTGGTTATTTATATGCATCAAATTAATACACTTACTGTCACTATCGATAGTGAAATACGTACAAGTGAGATGGAGGATCTCCTCACGAGAAAAGAAAGGAAAAACATACCGTATTGAAAACAAAATAGAGGAAGTGAACGACTAGTCTGCCCCACGTGTAGCTAACTTGTACTAGGTATAGCCACTTTTTTTTCGTTTGATAGAAAAGAAAGTGTATGTGAGTGTCAATGCTGGAATCTTCTCTAAACAACACCCACACCATTTTCGCCAAAAATAGTACATGTTAGGTCAAGATTAGGATAAAAATTTTAGGTCTCGATAGCATTTAGTTTAAAAGTTAAGAGCAACAAAGAAGTGGCACCACCTTCTACTGCTCAACCATCATCAGCGAGTTGCCACTACTCTAGTTACGCCACTATTGGGCTGCATTGAATGGCGTATAAGAAATCGAGTTTTTCATAAATTTTGCTATTAAACTGAGTTCAATACAGTTATAGATACTCTTGAATTTTTATACAGTTAATAGTTTTCATGATTGCATTCCTCTTTGTACTTCAAAATGGTTTCTTTTCTTAGGTCAAAGTTTTTCTTGACTATGTGATACTCCTGTGTTTTTAACTCTATGTAACAAAAAGATGAGTGTCAACGTAAAACATTCAAAAGAATTACACACTATAGAGTTCTATATGTTTAACAGATAATACCAATCGGAATTTTTTCCCATACAGAAAGACTAGTATGTTGACGATATTTGAACAATATTCAACGGTCCTATTAAATTATTTTCAGTAGAGTGAGCTTTAGAAAGCATTCTTTTTATATGGAATGATAACCTATTTTTCTGTCATATGTGGCGGTTATACTAATGCCTATTTAAAAAAAAGGGCATGAATTTTATTTGAATAATTTTTGATAGAAAAGAGATAGAAACCTGAGGATTTCATCGTTCGAAAGAACAGGCAAAGATGTATCAAATCGTAAATTATATGCTTTTTTAAAGCTTTTCAATCAATCTCTTTGAAAGGAAATCTACCGCATGATGTGTTCAGAACAATTTTTCAATAGTCACATGTATATTCAAATCACAAATGAATGATTTACAAAAGGGTGCGGGTGTAGAGTGTAGTTAGGTGTAGGTGAGGGTGTGAGTGTGGATGCAGATGTGAGCAAACAGGATACCCTCACCCACATCCAGACAGACTAGATCAACTATCGTTATTTTGTCCGTATGGTTGGCGTCGATGGTCATCGTACAGTTTGAAACTCAAGTAGGACCTCTTTTTTTTCATGCTATTTATTTTTATACTTCCTTACGCTGGAACCCACTGTGACCCACTTTTGGTGCTTACACGTATCTCTGTCAGTTTTTTTTTGTATTGAAACGGATTTTTTCCAAAAACATTCAGCATTGAAATCTCTACAAAGTACTACAGAAAAGTTCAACACTGATATAAAAGGAAAAACTTATCATAATAATTAATACTACGAGAATCTACCTATAATAACTTTCAAAATGTTTTCAATGATACTGGAACATTTACTTTTCAAAGAATTAGTTCTTGTCTTTCATGATTTATTTTACTATTTCCTACGTAAGCTATTCGAAGTAGCACTGTTTCAGAATGCATCTAACCTTGCATAGTATCATTTAGTGGTATTTACACAAACCAAAACCTTGTTCCAGGAAAAATTACTAGGATGAGTGGTCCTTTTCTTCGAAACTAGGAAAATAAGGGGAAAAAAAATAATATTTTCGAAAACTCATAAAAACTAACATTTGTTTTAGTTCGTAAATTTGTAATCGAAGTCTTGATGCACATTCACAGAGTCTAACTTTCAAAGCTCAACAAAAGTGTTTGTTTAATTTGCTCCTATGGTCTGACACTAGGAAAAATCGAAGAAATATCGAGTACAAAACTTGACGATCATTTATGCTGAGCCACCATTTTTTTTCTAGTGGTCTGAGTGTGCTCTGAAAAATGACTCCATTATCCCACTCCGTCATTATGACGTGAAAATTTTTCTGGATAATCCTAACCGCAGAAGCATTTTAGGAAGAATATGGATTTTTCAAGACCTTCCGCATTGAGTTTTGTCGACATCAGAAAAACAGCCGTTATGCAATTAAAATTAAATCGCTCTGAAGGTCCTATTCTTAGCATATTCATTGTCAAAAATTCAGTTACAGAGAATCTCTTCCACAAAAATTTTCTGAAGAGCATGTGTTTTCTATACAGCATCATATCTAATTTTCAGCGAGGTCAAACGTTTTCGAATGGTAGAAGAATACAAGACTTAATCATAACTAGTATCTTCTATTGGTTTTGCATAGAATCTCGGAACATTTTCGTCGTCACGAAAATAACCACTATCATACGAAAAATAGTATTGTACATAGTCGGTGGTGCTAATTAAGAACAGAAAAATTCTCTGAATATTGATGATTATAAAGGCCTTAGAAAGAAACTGCTATTTCAAAGACTTACGTTTGCTCCTCGTATTGATGTGATATGTTTTGTAATGATGAGTAGAATACCTGTGTAATCTATTGACGTTGTTAAATGAAGAAAATGAAAGCATTCTGTTGCTTATGCACACATCGAAAAAACTTTGGCTTACGTGCATTCATCCGTATACATGAAATAACCCATGATCATATATTATTGAGATACAATGGTTTTTTTTCCCATCAAAATATTTTCATCGTTTTGCTTGTGCTGTTACTCATCAATCAGACAGCTTAATCGATGGATAGAGAGAAAATAAATCGAAGATTGGAGAAAATGTGTACTATATCAAGGTTTTATTTGGTTTTTTCCTGCCGTTGTACACGATATGCAAAATCTGCAGGCTCCCCAAGCAATATTATGCTGCTTATCACGAATTGATGGAAAAAGACAGAAAGGAAGAATGTCGAAAAGAAAAATATCAAATATGAAAAATAGAATGAAAAATATATTAATTGTAAGATATCGCTCTAATGCGACAATTGAAAGGTCCTCTTTGGGGTATGAGTGTGATCGTTAATGGAGGATTTTGTATTTGGGTTTACATTCGTGTGTGCATGTGATGATAGACAGAGACAAGGCTTATTCACACCGGTTGAATTTTCTTATACTGTTGATAAAAATATTGCAAAAAAATATGCTGAATTATGACGTGAAGAGGGTTAGCAGTGGATTGGAGTTGCGCCCTGCTGATACGCACTTCTGTACTTGAGTTGAGTTTCTAATTACTTGGGTTCTACGCAGAATTCGATTCTCTATGGAACGTTAACATTGTCGAAGGTGGATATCGAACGGAAACTAGAGGTTTGGGTGTGGGTGTGGGAATGTGGGTTTGATTATAGGTATACAGAATAATACCACACCCACACCTTTACGAATTTCTCTATTCTTTCTGTTTATTCCATACATTCTTTATTGATGCTATAGGTTATTATAATGAAAAGGTGTGGATGTGGGTTTGGGTGTCGAAGAAGTAAGCAATCACACCCACACCCACGATGGAATGTAGCACACTCTAATTGTGTCAGAGGAAATTCATAGTTTTCAAGAATGACCCATTACCTTTTCCTCTTACTATTGTTCTTGTCTCCATTCTCAACTTGGTTTCTTACATTTCGAATACTAGGACTTATCAGAAAATTCCCAAAAAAAACAAGTCATGGGAACTGATCTTTAAGAAATTGCCATTCTACTTTTTCTCGATAATAACACGAAAAAAATACACGATTGAATCAAAAAAAGTCGTTAGTTCATGTCTTTTCGTGTCTGATTAATGATATTAAAACACAATCATTGATTATGACTATTATTATAAGCAAAGAGTCTATTCAATTGAAATATGTCGAATAAGATGTTAGTATGTGCGAGAGCATATTCACATTCGAATTGATAAATTTTAATAACAGAATTTGTGAATAAACTGAATGAATGCATTGCATGTTAAATAATCTGTGCATGTCATCCTTTTTCCAGTTTGATGCTCTATTGAACCATAGACATGAACCATTGATTTTATTCCGTTCGATAATATTATCATCTAATGGACAAATTAAACAACAACATTCTAGTATTAACAATAATAAATTAGGTTTACATCGTATTTTGAGAATGTAGAGAGACTATCAGCATTTTCAAAGATAATATTTTTTTATTTTAAATAAAAGAAGAGTACATGTTTAATCTAATCTAAAAGTATATTTCTATTTGTTGTTATAGAAGAATTCTAGAAATCAAACAACAACAACAAATATCATTTCCTCTCCTCCTACACCTTCTTCTACTTTTCCTCCATCATAACAATCATCGGAATCTAAAATAAATCGAAAGTAAGCAGGCATTAGGCATGCATTATTTACCACTTTAACATATTACATATGTTTGATGTGAATATTTATTAATGCATTGCATGAAGTTAATTTGTCAAATGATATCATTTTTTGTTTTTGTGTTTATATTTCTAAAGAGTAATTATAATTCTAGTGCCATTGAGATCCAGACAGAGATGGCTCTCACAAGGTATTTCTTTTTTCTCTTTTCTAACAAAAATCTCTAATCAATAAATACATTCACAATTTAAACAAAACGCACAACCTAATATTAGAACTAAAATCACAAGAATAAAAAGATATTTAACATGTTTTATTTAATTAAAATAATAAAAATAATTTAGATAGAGTACAAATCATCGAATAGTAGGTGAGAATTCATCATCGACAACAACAAATAATACAGGTCCTTATGTTCATCGTCGATCTGGTGCTGATATCAATGAATCAAATACACCAGCACCATCAACACTTGTCACTGTAACAAGTTCTGTTTCTCCACCAACAACAAACGTAACAGTAACAGCAATAACAAACAAATCAGATGATTCAACTAGTGGTAGTAAACGACGACCAAATGTTACATCAACATGTGATGAAGAAGTTGAAGGACAACGTAAATATCGTTCAGCTCAAGCACGAAGAGAACGACGATCAACACAATGTGTTATTGTTGAAGATATTAACGAAGTTGAACAACAAATTAAAAATCGTTCAAATGATCTATCATCATCAATACCAACGTTTCCACAACCATTAATAAATACAAATGAATTATCAAATAATAAAATAGGTGCACCATTAACTACTACTGAACATGATATTGAAATTGAACGTTCACAACGTCTTATTAAAAAGAAAAGAGATAAAGCTCTTAGAGCAAGTGGAGGAGCAAATGAAATACATTATATAGATTATATTCTAGTTCTATTTATTATATAGTGGGATATTACTGAAACGAATATTGATACATGACGTAGAATACAATCTCGATTTACATCTACTAATAATGATAGTAAGAAGAATAACAAAAAAAAGTTTTTTCAAAAATCTTTTCTTATATTTAAATAGATAATATACCAACAATAACAGCTAATGATTCATTAAATCTTGGCAATTCTTCTCATTTACAACAACCACGAAGAAGAACTAATCGTGTACACAATCAAAGAAAAAATATTGGAAGAATTATATGGAATGATGTATTTCATTTATCTTTGAATTTTTAATTGATAGAAAATTTTATTTTTATAAGAAACAAAAGAAGTTGAAATTTATGATGATTCAATATCAAAAACATCGAATGAAGAATCTCAAGATCAAAATTCTCAACAATCTTCAGCAATTGGTTCACGTGGTCTTATATCTTGATTTGAAAATACTCCAAAAGAATCAACATTACCATCTTCACCAACATCAACAATAAATCGTTCACAAAGTCACGAACCATTGAAAAAATCATCAACACCAACTAATTAGTTCTTTACCTATTAATGGAATTAATTCTTTAAAAAAAAAAGATAATGATACAATTACTTTAAAACAATATGAAGATGCAAAAAATTAAATTGATGAGCTTAATCAACAAATTGATCGATTAGAAAGGGATATCAATGAATGTGATCAAATTGTTGATAAACTCCTACGTCTTTTTTTTCAAATAAATATTTATATATATATATCTAGATAGTTTTCATAGAAAACATCTCAATATATCCAATTATCACTTGACAAACGAGTAAGAATATGTTTTGACTATATTTATTCGAACTTCTCACTATGGAATTTCGAGATTTTCTTTGTCAATCATGTCATAATTCCATATTGTCTAACTAAATTTTTCTATCTCTTCGACTTAAGAAGATACTGGAGGTCATAATGGCTAAAACTGACCCTTTTTCACTTCTCACCCACAATAGGTCAGATAGAGTGGAAAATTTTATTACATTTAATAACATTGATTTTTTGAAAAAAGTCCCATTAGGGAAAAGGCGTATTACTTTTAAAGGGAGAGTCACAGAGACCTGAGCTTTTCATTCTTGGATAGAAGACAACAGGAACAGGTAACTGAATAAAAAAATTTCAATATCACATAATGATTACCATGGTAGATCTTTTCATGGAAAATCTATTAGATTGTCATTGCCGGACATTATGATAAATTTCGATTTGTAAAGGGCAACCTCATAGAATCTTCACCGAACTCCAGTAGATTTTGCATGAAAAGATCTACCATGGTAATCATTATATGATATTGAATTTTTTTTATTCAGTTACCTGTTCCTGTTGTCTTCTATTCGACAATGGAAAGCGCAGATCTCTATTACTCTCTTCCTTCAATAATTATACGCATTCTCCCTAACTATAAAAACACTATTCTTAACAACATTCTTAAAAATGTTTGTTTTTTGCCTCAAAATCAATAGACATTTTTAATATTTTTCAGCAAAAATCTTTCATCTTTTTAGATTTTTTTCAATTTCATTGTTATGTATTCATTTTTGAAATATTTCGAGTAGATCAAGATAAATCTTGTAAAATCGATGCGTTATTAATTTAGTGGTAAATATCATCGAGTTTCTCTGCCTTTATATCTCAATCAACTAGCGATGAAAATTTTAGCTTAATGAAAGATCAAAGACATATAAATCCCTGTTATGATTCGTCATTTGATACGTCTTACTCCATGGAATTGAAAAACTTTTTTATTTAATATAGGAAAAATGGGCATATGAACAAAAAATATCTGAATTAGAAGAAGAATTAAAAGTAAGTTATAGATATATATCTAAAAATCTTTTTCTAATAAATTAGTTTGAAGAAGATGAATTCAATAAAAGCAAACAGTACACGACTAAAAGAAGAAAATGCTGCATTGATTCATGTTATTAGTAAACTTTCGAAATAATGAAAAAAAACAAATAAATTTTTTTTATGTACGTCTGTTCTAGAGTGCTTCTCTTTTTTTTCTTTACTAAAAATTTAGTCACTTGGTGCTACAAATGATTAAGACGCACTGGCAAAACAGTAAAACAAGAACAACTTTCAAAGAAGAATGTTTTGCATAGCAGTCTCATTTTTTTAAATGTGTGATGTGAATCAGAGATGGACGAGCTGCGGTGTAAAACCGCCCCGTTCCGTCCCGCCCCACCCCGCCGGTGTGGCGGTGCTAAAACTTGACAGGGCGGGGCGGTGACAGTGCATGACGAAATTTCACGGTTTCCCCGCCTTTGTATAACTTTGATTTCTTAAATATACTCAGACCTTTAGAGACATCTTTTAAAACTTTAAAAATTTTTTCACACTAAACTAATCAGTAAAAAAAACTTGTTAGCGCAGTTCCAGAGGAGCTAAAACGTGGAACTCACATATATTTTTTTTATTTTTTGTCCTGATGCCTAATTTTTAAATTGTAAAATACCTTTTTTCCGAATACGTATGAAATCATTGATATATTATATAAAAACTAGAGCCTTTTATGCGCTGTTGCTGAGGTCTGTCATGGTAGTGGTCAGGGTTGCCAGACCGAAAAATAAAAAATCAGAAAAAAATTTCTAAAAATCGGGAAAATGTCGGAATTTTTGTTCTTGAAATCGGAAGAAAATCAGAAAGTATTTTTTCATGCTTAAATAACTAGTCTATATATTTTCGATAGCTTGAATGTCCTTTATCTTGCTTCTGTTCATCTTTTCGAAGCAATATCGGAAATGATATTTCACAAAGAATTAAAGAAAATATCGATTACACAATTTACTCAGGATTAAGAAATCTACATAAGTCATTTGAACAGGATCACATTACTTTTATCAAAAATGCTATAACCAACTTGACGAAACAATAGAATCAGCATTGTAAATTCATACACACATGCATTTCACAAAACTTGTGCAAAAGAAACTAAGACTTATTCTGTATAATGTTCGTTTTTGTTCATACTTTTTTATTAGCTCGAATGATCTTCAAAATATCAGGTTGATGTAACAGATATTCATAAAAATGTCCACAAGTATAAACAGAATTCATTCCGATTTTCAATTCTGCAACAGCTAAATTAGTACCCATACGGTTATGATTAGTTTTATTATATCTGTGATGAAACAAAAAAGCTCAAAAACGAAAATATTCTTAATTATCAGTATAGTAAACGAACAGAGAAAGTTAGTTCATCGTGATAGAAAACTGGATCTTAATTGTCTGTAAAACATCATAGTTTTATTGGAGGATATGCTTTCAAATAATTGCAGTGTGGTTTGTTGAGTTCATGACGTTTCACTACCCGATAATTATGGTGAAATAGATCGCAATATATGTGTGGTATCGCGTCATAGTTAAATTATTCTGGAATGTCCTAAGAACTTGAATTCACAAACAAGATTTCGAAAACCGGAGGAAAATTAGGAAATCTGAAGGCAATCGGAAAAATATGTTAAAATCGAAAAAAATCGGAACGTCGGAAACTCGTTGAAGAAACTTTCAAAAAATCGGAATTTTTCCTGCCGTATCGGAAGATCTGACAACCCTGGGTGGGGTGTCTGTAATGGAGTGGAAGAAGGGGGAGAGTCGTCAAACCTCGAACTTAAAACTTACAATCACTATTTTCTTCGAAAATATACGTGAGTTCCACAAAATGAGTGCTTGTATTATAATTGCCTTTCATTTTCATATGCTTATTTTTTTCTATTTCGGAACGATGTTTATGCATTTAAAATATGCCTCTTCATCTCATGAAATGAAATAACCATTATGAAAATTTAATGAAAAATTTGTCAATAAATAGTTTTTGAAAACATATTTTGGACGGGGCGGGGCGGGGTGGTGGCGGTGCGGAACGTTATCAACGGGGCGGTGACGGTGCGACTTTTTTGCTGACTCGTCCATCTCTGATACCTTTCCCGAGAGTTTCTAAAACGGGAAGATAGGTCTTATGTTACCGAAGAGTCTGACAATGTGGGAAGATGGAAGAACGAGCTTGCTGGTATTTTCTTCTATTCTATCGAATATGTCAATAAATCGAAGTGATTGTCATTCCAACTCAATTAACTTTACTCAAAAACATTAAAAAGTTAATGAAGTTGAAAGTTATAACTGTGGTTGAAAGTTATAACCACGGTTAAAGGTTATAACTATGGTTGAAAGTTATAACTACGGTTGATAGTTATAACTAAATTAACTTTTCGACCAAAACGTTGATCGGTTATAACTAGGGATGTGCAGTTTCGGTGAAAACAATGAATTACTGACAGTGATACCACTGCACTGAGCGCACTGACTGCAGTGACACACTGACACTGGTGTTCAGTGAATCAGTACATACACTGACACTGGCGTTCACTGAATCAGTACATA